CCCTGCCGAGGTTTCTCCTCGGGATTTTTCATCCGCATGGACGTGCCCGAGTGTTAGAACACGCTGGGGAGACGGCCCGGCCAGTAACCCGCGCGCTCCGAGGGTTGCGCCTGGTATTTCCGACCCGCCGCGGCCCATCATGTCAAAAAACGCACTGTGCAGGAAAAAGCCTGCGATGGCATCGGAGCAAGAGAGCGTGACGGGCGCCCCGGATAAACAACACGGGCGCGCGGTTAAGCGGAGCTCCCGCGGCGCCCACGGGGACATTATCCATTATCCATGCTCGAGAGGCATCCCGCAACATGCAGCTACAGGCCGGCTTGGGGGACAGCCACGTGCTCCAAGGGCTGCGGTCAGGAGGAGCTCCTGCTAGACCCCCAAGCATCGTGACGAGCCTGTGGAAGCTGCACAAAATCCCTGCCGGCACTAAACCCAGCAGGAACGGGCAGAGCAATTAAGACAAGAGGAGGCAGGAGATTTTGTTTAATTTCTTTTTTTTTATTAGACTAGGAAATATAATTTATTGCATAAAAATTAATTTGTTACAAGAGGAAGGCTAAACTTTATTTACAGTCCTTTAGTTTATAGAGTAAACGGGCGCGTCGCTAGAGGATGCCCGCGGGCCCGTCCCTGCGCACATAAATATGGAAAGAGGCCGCAGAGCAAGAGGACGGACACTGCCAGCGGCACCCCGAGGTGGCCTTGCTGAACCTTCTTACCCCTTCCCATCCATCGCCCAACTTCTCCGCTGCTCTAGAGGACGATTACGGGGGAAAAAAAGGGAGTATACGGGCGTAGGACTGAATTCTTTGGTTTTAAGGTCTCTCCGTAAACGCGCATCCATCCTGCAAGGCTCCACGCGCATCAAAGCATCCCTGTGCAAAACATGGACCCAAGTGACTCACTCGCCACGGCGTCGCAGGAAGGCCCTGGTTGAACCCAGGTTTTACGCAGCCTGATCATGCACTTCCACTCCGAAAACGTTGTCATTCACATCTCTCATCTGCCGCTCCGACCGTAATGATGCTCTTGCTCTCACACACACAAAAAGATTTATAAACCTGTCTTTTTCTCTTTTTTTTCCTTTTTTTTTTTTTCCTAAAAAGGTCTCATCCAAAGATCTGGATAATAAATTATTAGCGTTTCCTAAGAAACTGTTTTTTTTGTTTTGTTTTGTTTAGTTTTTTCCTTTTTCTTTCTTTCTTTCTTTCTTGCGTGCCTTATTAAGCTGTCCGAAGCTCCTGGCGGGAGTAAGTGGCTTCTCTAGCTTGCACCACTCTCTTCCCCCCATGCGGATGCTGTCGAAGGAGGGGAACCAAAGGAAAGGGGGACCTGCACCAATGAAAGGAGAAGGAAAGCCCCCGGCTCGAGAAGCCCTGACCCCTCCCCGCACCGCTGGGAGGAAGAGGAGGAGGAGGAGGAATGCTGTGTAACACTTCAATTGCTTGTAAACGCTGAGGTTCTAAGGCTGACAGTGATATGGGAAGGATGGACCGGGAGTCTTCCCTCCCCGGCAGTTCGGGAAGGGGCCGGCGCCAGCTTCGTCCTCCCACTCGTCCCTCCGCGCAGTCCTCCTGGACCGAGGAGCATCATTAGCAGTCGCCCTCTGTGGCCATGACTACCAGCATCTCGCTCTTGCCCATCTCTTCTAAGGCACTGGCCAAGGTGTTGAGGTCACCATCATCTTGGTGCTTGGCTTCCCATAAGTCCAGGATCACCCCGGTGGGGCTGGCTTTGGTAGCAAAGTAGTTGAGATACCTGCAGAGAAGGGAGAGAGAGAAGATCCCGGTTGGCATGAATTTCCATGAGTCATGACCCAAATGCCAGGGGTAGGCAGAGATGGACGCCATGGAAGCGCTCCATCAAGCCTAGGCCTCAGGGAAAAGCGCTGTTGTCTGCCAGGATGGTGTCGGAGCAGACACAGAGGCTCGCTGTCCTTTGCAGGAACGCACCGATCCATGGAAAGCTTCTGGGCGAGAAGTCTCCAGTCGTTTCCCCTGGAGTTGGGAGCATCCAGGCTGTTGCAGATTTTCTGCCGGATGGAGAGGGGGATTTTGAAGGCGTAGGGTCCCACCTGGGTGGTCACAGCACTGCTGTGGTGCGAATGCAGGCCATCGAAGGTGTTGGCATTCTGCGAGGGGAAAGACGAGGTGAGATGTCATCAGCTTGGAGGAGTGCTGAGGAGAGGCTGTTTCTTCACTCCCCCAAGCATTCTTGGCCAACAACCAACATCCATGCTAGATGTGGTCTCCTGGGCATGAGGATACCTACACGGACCATGCTCCTGGAGCAAAGCACAGCCGCGTGACCGTACCTTCCTCCTTGGCTCACCTCTCCAAGTGTGACGTGGAGCTGGAAAATCTGCCCTTCCCCTTCCACCTGCCGCACGCAGATCTTGCAGGTGAGCTCGCAGGAGGCCTGGCTGTACCTCTCCAGGGTGAAGGTGCAGTGCAGGGCTCGCTGGCTGCCGCTCCAGATGTGGTAGAAGGGGATTTCCTGCGCACCAAACCCTCACCTCAGCCAAGCCTTGCAAACGCAGCGGGGGCTCTCCAGAGAAATCCCAACTCCTCCCAGCCACACCGTGTTAGTAATAGGCTTGGAGCCCTCCTTTCCTGGCTGCTCCAGCCCTCGGCTCCTCACCTGGTACTTGGCCAGCAGCTTGCTCCGCCACAGCGAGTGGGGGATGTCATGGATGGAGAGGCGCAGGTTGTGGTAGCTGTGCTTGAACGGCAGGGGCTTGGGCTCCTCCAGCAGGTAGCCGCCCAGCGTCTTCTCCAGCTCCAGCACCTCCTGCAGGGCAGAGGGAACTGTGAGATGCAGGACCTGGGTCACTGTGGGAGATGCGCAGGCTGGTTTGCTCCTTTCTCCTGTTGCATTGGACTGCGCTGTCCCCCCAAGCCAGGTCTATTCCTGCCTCATCCAGCACCAGTGACAACAAGTGCTACAAGCCCTGTGAAGGCCCCCATCTACCCAAGGAAACACAGAATCATTATGGTTGGAAAAGACCTTCAAGATCACGGAGATCATCAAAGAGAACCCAGAGCCCTGTTGTATCCAATTCTAACACCACGGTAGCTTGCGTTCTCCTTGTCAGGTCACGCCTTGAGCTTTTGTGACTTGGTAGTCACCAGAAAGCCACGCTCTCTGCTGCGACATTACCTTCAGTGCATCTGGCGTGTCCTCCAAGCAGTAGACTTTGAGGCTGTACTCCAGGGAGGTGCAGACGGTGGGGGCAAAGATAGCCAGCTGGAGCCTCTTGATGGCTGAGCGGGAGTAGGGCTCTCCCACGAAGGCATAGGTGCCAAGCTGGTCTAGCAAGACGTGGCAAGACTTCGCTTCCAGCTGGCAGTAACAGGGAGTGTTGAGGGTCTCCTCATCCAGGGTCACAACTTCCTACAGGTAGAGACATCCAAGTAAGACTCCGTGCTGGCCCTTTGCCCAGGGTGATCCCAGAGTTTATGCATCCAAATGTGCTCCCCCCAGGGCATCTTTTATGGAGCTCCATCCCCCAGCAGCCCCATGGCCAGCACCTGCAGGAGGAGCCTGCATCCCTGCTGCACATCCCGCGATGGCCGTGCATTCCCGCTCCGAGCTAGGATGCCGCCTTACCTCCCAGGTGCCCTGGTGGGACTGCGTCTTCAGCTGGAAGAGCCAGTCCGAGGAGCTGACGTCGGCACAGTGGGGAATGGTGAGCACCACGGGGCGGCACAGGAGCAGGCCCGTGGGCCCACAGGTCACCGCAGGGCTCAGAGCCGTGGTCTGACGGCCTTCAGTGGGCAAGCTGGGGAGAGAGGGCAGCCGTTGGCCACAGGGATGGCAGCAGGTGCCAAGGAGCATGGGCAAGCACAGGGAAGGACTGGGGAAGGGGGTCCCAGATGAGGCCCACCACCAGCGAGGCAGGCCAGCTGGGTGGGATGGCAAGGGGCTGAGCTGTGGCTTGACGCTGCCGCCGAGGGGCCCGGCACATGGCGCGCAGGACTCACAGGGCGCTCTCCGCCTTGCTGAGGACCAGGTACATCTCGTAGAATTTGCCCTGAGGAATGGCCCCGTGTGGCACCAGCAGGCTCACCCCTAGCACAGCACACAGACAAGCCGTTAGCCACGATGAATCCAGCCTCCTGCTCCACATTGCTCCGTCCAGCTTTGGATGTGCGGGATGGAGCCAAGGGCCTGTCACCCAGCCACCAGATCTCCCCACCTCCCCTACCAACCAACCACCAGATCTCCCCACTGCCCCTACCAAGCAGCCATCAGGTCTACCCTCATCCCATACCAACCAGCCATCAGGTCTACCTTCATCCCATCCCAAACAACCATCAGTCTACCCTCCTCCCTTACCACCCAGCCACCAGTTCTGCCCTCCTCCCTTACTAAGGGACCACCAGGTCTACCCCTTCTTTGGGCCAGGCCTTACCTGTGCCTGGGATACTGAGCCTCCCTCCCAGATAGCCAAAGGTGCTACTGGCACTGTTGCCGTGCTCCCGGGGCAGGCTGAGGAACTGTTGGGAGCCCAAGGTCTTGCTCCGCACGTTGCCAAAGTTGTCTCTGGCGCTCTCGCCCAGGTACACGCCCGTGGCCGGGACCCCTCCGAGCAGGTCTGTGGCTTCGTGGAGCCCCGTCGAGGAGGAGGCCGTGGAGGAGTTGTACACTTTGATCTTGAGGCTGGGCAGTGGGTCGAGCAGGGGCGAGTTGGTCATGGGGATCTTGTCGGAGGAGTCCTGCAGGGCGTACATGGGGCCGCGGTACATCCCCGCACTGGCCGTCAGGTCTGGCTGCATCGAGGGGTGCAGCAGCTGCGGGTTGTCTGCAGGGACAGCAGGGGGACAGACGTTGGGCGATGGCATTAGCAAAGAGGAGGGGAGATGAAATCACTCCGCTTAACTACGAGGCAAACCTGGGCAGACTTCATCAAAAAAACAATTCCCCTTCTGCTTGTTCCATCTTGTACCCTATCCATCTGGATGATCACACCACCCTTGGGGGACATATGTAGACTCTCTTCTTACCATGCCTGGAGGTCTTGAAGTTGACCGGGTGAAAGCCGCTGGTCAGAGCAGCTGACGAGTCCGTGATGTCCGTGTCGAAATCCCGGCACCTCCTCCGGTACACCACCACACCGACAGCCATGAGGATCACCACAAAGACAAAAACGGCCACCACCAGCCCGGCGTACAGGGCCACATCACCTGTGGCCTCCAGCACTGGAAGAAGAGAGAAAGACAGAGAGAGCATTAGAAGCGCCAGCGCAGCCCCATTCGTGCACGCCAGCGCGCTCACCAACTGCACACACCAGCCTGAGGGAAGCACTTGTGCTGGGTCTGCTGGAAACACCACAGTGGGATGTTAGAGGATGCAGAGCAGAGCTAGACAGAGAGGAGAGTGAAG